GGCCTCTCCCGTTGCGGAGCACAGGCTCCGGACGCGCAGGCTCAGCGGCCATGGCTCACGGGCCCAGCCGCTCCGCGGCATGTGGGATCTTCCCGGACCAGAGCACGAACCCGTGTCCCCTGCATCGGCAGGCGGACTCTCAACCACTGCGCCACCAGGGAAGCCCTATGAAGTTTTTTTGTCCTTCTTTAATAAGAACTTTAGGTTTGGAAGGGGGCTGACTCGCCTGTCTGGACTCTTCTGGTTGTCTGTGGTCCTCGATGTCCTGTGAAGACTTGGGAGGAGGGATAGGTTTAACTCTAGACAGGTTCTCCGCTTAGCTAATAGTTGGTCATCCATTCTTGGTGTCCCCAAAATACTTATTTGGTCCTGTTGGGTTTGATAACAGGCAGAATAGGAGTATTGTGTGTGACTGACAAAAGACTAGTAACCTGCCCCTGGTAATAATCAGCTTGGCCTGGGGGGCCCTTCCTGGGATGTCTCTGTCTCAGGCTTGAAAATTTATGGGTGTTAGGTTTCACCCAAATGTTAGGTTTCAGCCAGAGCAATTTAAAAGTTGGGGCCTGTTCCTAGTCGCTGAAGTGTCTCCCAAGCTTTTATAACGTATTGTCCCGTTAAAGGATGGGGGCATTCAGGGACTACCGAGAAGGCATATGAGACCAAATATTGTTCAGATTGGCAATTGAGTGGCTTAATGAAATACCAACTGTGGGGATTTTTATCAATACTCGATTTTTATCAATACCAGGCAGCTTTTAACATTTGAGAGTCCAGCATAATTGTTTAAAGACAGAGCAGGTGGCTCCTGTATTGATTAAAAAATTAGACCCTCTTACCTGCCTTGTTAAGGATCACCTGGGGCTCTTCTGTTGAGATGGTGAGTTTTTTCATGGGAGCCAAGGACCCCCGGCCCTGTCAGCTATCTGCAGCTACCATTTGGAGTTTCGAAACCCCTTTGTCCAAATTGGACATGGGACATTCTCACGTCTGATGGCCTGACTTTCCACAGTTTGGACATGGGGCAAGCAGTTTCGCCTCTTCCACGCAGCAGGAACGGGTGCTGTGGCCTGGCTTACCACATTTGAAGCAGACCCCTTGTGGAGTCTCTGTTGATCTGGTGTCGTGTCTTCTCTTTGGTCCTTGAGGTTGCAAGGCACTGCTGACAGCAAGAGCTGTCAGTTGAGCCTGTTTCTTAGTTTGTTCCCCTTTGTGCCAGTCCCTCAGGGCTTCCTCTGCCTGGTCACGGTTATTAAATACCCCATAGGCCATATCTAGAAGCTAAGGCATCAGATCCTGAGGGCCCAACTGTAAGTTTTGGAGCTTTCATCTAATATCAGGGACAGACTAGCTGATAAAAAATGTTGTCCCAGTAGGGACTAGTTCTTGGGGTGGAGGAGTCTGTGTTAGTGCGTTCTCTAAAAACTTTCACAAGTTTAATCCTAGATGAGGCTCATTTGGTCAGAAGGAATTCAACTGTCTGGACTTGTCCCAAATTAATTAAGTACTGCTCTTAATGAGTTCACTGGTTTTACGTGCCTTTCGAGTTTAACTAGTTCTGACATATAGCCCTCAATGGTCAGGGTCCCCAGGCAGCATGGGGTTCACAAAAGCCCAAAAGAGAAAATGTCCTTGGTGTCTCTGAATACTCCCAAAGGGTATGTCCCTGGGAGTAAAGATTACCTGTGATCCTTCAGGGGAACCAAGCTCCTGCCAAAAAGAGGAGCATTGTCAGTCAGGACTGGCTACGGGTATCCCTGTTTTTCTCACTCCTGCTGACTGTAGCCTATGTGAGGGTAGCGACCCCATCATATGGCAACCCTGCCAGCCCCTGTCCTGAGGCCCGTGTCCTTCCCTGGTGTCTACGATACCTAGGGTGAGCGACCTTCCTGAAGGCTTCAAGGCTTCTCTGTAGATTCTATAGCCAATGATTAATTCTTGTGTTCCTGGGGTGCATTCCCCTAAAATGGACATCCTTATAGTTCCAGGACCTATTTAGGTTCTAGTTTTCATTCTCTGAAAGGGTGGTAAGTATCTGAAAATGGGTACCAGCCACTGAGGGAGGCGGTATGTGTAATTATGTTTTAAAAAAATCTAAGAAAACCTCAGCTTTCTTCAACTTACAGTCTGTCCAAGTAAGGCTGTATTTTATATTTTTGCTAATTTGAACCTGACAATAGTTAATCAAATGGTGGATAAGATAAACCCAGAGGGCAAAGCTCCTGTGGTTCAGGTCCCTGACTGCCTGTGAATAGAGGCTGGCCTGACATGCCTTGCAACAATGAGAAGTGCAAGACCTAGCAGCAAGCTTGGAAAGCACCTGACAAATTCCTCTTCCTGCACTTCCAGGAGAGCAAGACACGAAAATATGAGTGAGATGGGCCGCAGAGGCGCGACAAAGAGCAAAAGAGAAAAGTAATGATAGGAAGTCAGGCAGCACCACTCAAGTGCAAGGGAGGTGGGAGGCTAAGACTTACAAGAGACCAAGATGAAGGGTAATTAACTTCCAATAAGTCTCCTGGCTTGCTTACCAAAGACTGATGCCAGACAGGCTAAATTAAAGGTCCAGGTTCTTCTACCTGTCCAAAAGAATTTGGACAGGGAACGCAAAAAAAGTCACACAGACTGAGGTGTAGAGAGAAACAAAGAAGCAATGTATTAAGGGGCAGAAGCAAACGCACTTGGAAAAGACCTCGGGCGTCCTCGCCAGTGAGGAGGGCATCTGAGGAGTTTTCTGACCCCCCCTTTTATTTCAGTTCCTTGAATGGATGCAGGTTTCTTTGATTAGGGGCAGAATATTCATTGGTGGGAGGATGGGGTGGGAATCTTAATTGCACCTGGTTACATCCGCTTCTCTTGCGAGTCTTCTGAAGCCACTGCACATGTGCTCTAAGAGCCATTTTCCCTTAGCAGTCAAGCACCAGGTGTGGAAGGTTGTATAGCAGTCAGCTGCAGCCTGTGCATTTTTATTGCTCATGCTGGGCTGAGCTCTGGGTTTTCTGGGCAGGGTTCCCTGTTCAGGTGTCACAAAGTTTAATCAAGGTTTAATGTATGTTCTTGTTGCTGATGCCATTCCTCCATGCTTCATAATCTCATTTAAGTGCAACACAAGGAGAGGTGGCTTTGCCTTTTGCCTAATGTCTGTGTATGAGGAAGCTGTCCTTGGGTTGGGCCCTGTCTTTCCTGCCTCACTTGGGGTTTGCTCCGTATATCGAGCAACATGCTAGGTGCTCGGTATACACAATTTCTGCCCTGTTTTGCAAACAAGATGCTCAGTCTTGTTGGAGAAGAGCATGCGTAGACAAATGAGTCCAGTGTAATGCGGTAAAGGCGGTTGAAAGCAAAAAAGGTGATGGGCTTGGGGCGGGTGTATTCTGCACAGGCACTTAATCCAGAATGACAAGGGGGGGCAGAAGTATGGAAGATTTCCTGAAGGAGATGACATCTCAGTTCAGCCTTGAACGATGAGCAGAAGCTGAGAAAAGCGAAGGGTGAGGAGTGTCCAAGCAGTTCATTGTTGCTAGAATATGAAGTGGGTCAGCATGAGTGTTAGGCAAGACTGAAGTGCATTGTAGGCACTGTAGGTGCCTGTAGGGAGCTTTTGAAGAGCTCTTAGGCAGATATTATCATATCTGCAAGCTTAATGGTTGGGAGAGAATGAATTTGAGGATTGTCATGTGGTGTGTGCAGATTTGTGACAGAATTGCATAGGGGAGCTGAGGCTGAAGGCAGAAACTAAGATTGTCATGGAAACAGCACGGGAGACAGAAGGTAAATTTGGTGGTTGCTTGGATATGGGCTGTGAGGGGGGTGTGTAAAATTAGCTTGTTGGGGAACTACTTGGATGGATGGTGGTGTCATTTACTGATGAGAAATGGGTCTGGGGAAAGGGAGTGTTGATGCATTCAGTTTCCTGTGGATGGAGAAGTCTAGCAGGCTAGCAGGAGATATATATGAGATCAGAAGTGAGATACAATTTGGGGAGTTGTCCGTACAGATAGTTGCTAAAACCGTGAGTGGGGTTGAGGTCACCCTGGAGAGACACAAACACTTGGGAAATGGTAACACGTATATGGTAGGTGGAAGATTGTGAATTTAGTAGAAGGACTGATCAGACAAGAAGGAAGAGAACAGATGGGTGCTCAGAAATCAAGGCAGTAGTTTGGAAACGGGATTCTCTCAATGCCAGGTGCAAGGGAGGTGTCTAGTAAGATAAGGATTGAGTAGTATCAACTGGACTGAGCAATATGTGAGCCTATTCTTAGTAAAATAGCCTCTGTGGATGGCCTGGCTGGAAGCCATATTGCAGAGGATTTTAAATGAATTGAAGATAAAAATGAAGACTTTTCTAGAAACTAATAAATGATTGGAAAAGAGAGGGACATCTGGGCAAAGGGAGGTTCTTGAGGGGAATATCTGGGGGGAGGTATTGACTGTGTAGAGAGCAGGCTTCATTTTGTGTTTTTCCTGTTCCTTTAGAATTTCCGTGTGGATGTGGTACACATGGATGAAAACTCATTGGAGTTTGACATGGTGGGAATCGACGCAGCCATTGCCAATGCTTTTCGACGCATTCTATTAGCTGAGGTATAGGTGGGCATGATGGCAAAGGTGGAGTTGTGTGGGGAATCCTCATTTGTAGAATTGTCTCAAGTGGTATTTTTCCTGCAGTTTTGCTGAGCATTCCTCCTGCTCATTCTTTGTAAACTTTTCATCAAGCGTTCTTCTAGGAGGAAGTCTCCATCTCCCTATGTCAGGAGGCAGGGAGTAGATGGGGAATCTACAGGGTCTTTGTAGATGAGTGGCTTTCTTTTCTTGGGCAGGTGCCAACCATGGCTGTGGAGAAGGTCCTGGTGTACAACAACACTTCCATCGTCCAGGATGAGATCCTCGCTCACCGCTTGGGGCTCATCCCCATTCAGGCTGATCCCCGCCTTTTTGAATATCGGAACCAAGGTGAGGGTTTGAGAAAATGAAATTTTGGGGCAAGGTGGGCAGCTCTCCTCTGAAGTTGATTCTGGAATCAGACTGCCTGTGTTCGAACCCTTGATTGGCTACTGTATGACCTTGGGCCCAGTACCAATCTTTTGGTACATCATTGCTGTTGTCTGTGAGGACGCTTGCCCTTGCCTTACCAGGGTTGCCAAGAGGATGAGAGAAAAATGCAAGGCATTCAGCGTGGTGCCTGGCACCGACGTCCACTAGCTCTTTAACAGCCCTCACCTCCTCCCTTTGTGTAGGAGATGAAGAAGGGACAGAGATAGATACCCTGCAGTTTCGGCTGCAGGTCAGGTGCACTCGGAACCCCCACGCTGCTAAAGATTCCTCTGACCCCAATGAGCTCTATGTCAACCACAAAGGTAGGTACCGGTGGGGTGAGGAAGAGGGCCCCCTGTTGGTGGGTGCCAGTTTTAGGGACTTGGGTCTGATGTGCTTCCTCCCGCAGTGTACACCAGGCACGTGACATGGGTCCCCCTGGGGAACCAGGCCGACCTCTTCCCGGAGGGCACCATCCGACCGGTACATGATGATATCCTCATCGCTCAGCTGCGGCCTGGCCAGGAGATTGACCTGCTCATGCACTGTGTCAAGGGCATTGGTGAGACCCTTTGATTACCCTGGGGTGAGGTATGACTAAGGGACTCGGCTGAGATGTCCCCGACAGGCAGAAAGCCAATGGGCCTTTGATGTCAGGAGCTTAGGGAATGTGAGGAAGGGTCTCCTCCCAGGCTCTGAGTTCCCTCTTCCCTCCAGGCAAAGATCATGCCAAGTTTTCACCTGTGGCAACAGCCAGTTACCGGCTCCTGCCGGACATCACCCTGCTTAAGCCCGTGGAAGGGGATGCAGCTGAGGAGCTGAGCCGGTGCTTCTCACCTGGTGTTATTGAGGTGCAAGAAATCCAAGGTATGGGATTTGGGATGCCAGGCCCTAAAGTATATTTTCTTTGAAGGTAGCAGAGAAATAAAAGCTCTGGGCTCATGTATTTATAACATGGTTTGTTTTCATTAGGTAAAAAGGTGGCCAGAGTTGCCAATCCCCGGCTAGATACCTTCAGCAGGGAAGTCTTCCGGAACGAGAAGCTAAAGAAGGTTGTACGGCTTGCTCGTGTTCGGAACCATTACATCTGTGAGTTTCAAGTTGGAGGGTGGGGTGGGGGTGGAGTTCTTTGGTGCTGCAGCTTCCTTGCAGAGTTCAGATGTGGAATCTAGCAATACATATAAGGAGCTTTTGTAAGCCCTGCCTGGGCTAAAGTGTCCCTTTGGTCCCCAGTCTCTGTGGAGTCAACAGGGGTGTTGCCACCAGACGTGCTGGTGAGTGAAGCCATCAAGGTACTGATGGGGAAGTGCCGGCGGTTCTTGGATGAACTGGATGCGGTTCAGATGGATTGAGGCTGCGCTGGACCTGGCATGGCTGGGATTGGATGCTCCTGAGGCAACAAGCTGAAGATTTTAGGCTCTGACCTGCCCCCACAGGACTGCCGTAGAGAGCCCGGAGACTAGGGGTCCTGAGTTTTCTGGGGACAATTCCAGCTTTATTTTCAGTCAATACACTTTGTTAAATGTGCCACAAAATGTGACTTTTATGCCTTCGTAAGGTCTTAATGTAAATAAATCCACATCCAGACAAAAATCCATTTGTTGGAGATGACTTTTTCAGTTTTCGTCCAAAAATATGGGGCACCTCAGAAGAGATCTGGCATTATTTAGCAGTTAAGAGCATTGGGCTCAGACATCACTGCAAGTCAGGGCCAAGTCCCTCTGAAGCCCCTTGAGAAATGCCAAGTGTGATGGTTTCTGGGGGCACAGCCAGACCACAGAAAAATACCGTGTGCTGCTTACCAGAGGAAGTTCCTGAGAGAAAAAAGGGTGGTCCATGGCAGTCAAGTCACATTGAGAGCCACACAAGGAAGAATAACAGTCCCCTCTGGACAGCCCCTCTGGGTTAGGTCCAGTAGCCAACAATGACGACACCGAGAATGGAAGGGCTGCCTGGTCTACGTGTCAGGAATAGAAAGCTGCTTCTGGCTGGCATGCTATTTCAGAGGGTTTGACAGAGCAGGTCTGTCAGTCACAGTTCTTTCCTGTCCAGCCCCCTTAGCAAGCAAGATGCTCATGAGGAACAGTGACCCTGGAGTATGTTACTAGTTTGAAAAAGGGAGATGGGGCCCTTTCTATATGAAATTGAGATTTTTACTGACATGCAGGTGTGCTTTAGAGTTAATGTTTCTACAAAAAGGTTCTATAAACAATAGAAAACTTCTAGCATGAAGTCACAGGATGTTAAAAATATTACAACACAATAAATACAACTATACCCTCCACAGCCCCACCGCAGAGAAGAGTAGGCAGCTAACAAACAAGTTTGGAGGGAAACATGCTGAGATGGCCTTCACAGTGGACAAGAAGCCCAAAGCACCACCCAGGAAGAGGGGATGGACCAAGCCCGTGCCATAGAAAGCGCAATGTGGGACTCCCAAGTCCGTTTCCCCAGCTTTGCCTCTTCCTGACCTTACCCTACCTGGGGGGGCCACACCAGCTAAAAGCTGCAGCTTCAGCATCACCAAAACCCTGGTCAGTGGACTGGATCAATGCCAGGCCTCTGTGGGGAACACATGGACACACACTCTAAATGTGTGTCCTTCTGTATAGATTAACTAGTCGTGCATCCATGTCCCCTGTGCTTATAAGGCCATCCAGTGATGTTTAGAACAGACTGGAGACTCACAGGTTGTGATGGGAAGGCATATTTTTTCTTTTGGAAATGGCCCATGAGGGAAGTGACCAGGGACCTGAAAGACCACGAGATTTTTGAAGGCACCTGGACTGAGCTAGTCCTAGGAGAGACCAGTGGCTTTGCCAGCTGCTTGTCACAGATGTAGCCTAGTTGGTCTGGGTTATCCTTAAATGCCAATGTCATCATGTGACACTAGATAGGGTACTGTGGCTCTTGTGCCTGAGTGGACCCTGGGGACTGGGGAAACCACACTGAGGGGTCACTCATGGAGGGACAAAATGTGTGAGCTCTAAGGGATGTTACAGAGCGCTACAGACCCTGGCCCAGCCCTGGTCCCTGAAGGTACTAACATTTGATACTGTGCCCAGAGCTTAGCAGTGGCCTGTACCATGGATCCCATCAGGTGACCAGATTCTTGCTCAAAACAAAGCAGGAACTGGCCAAATTCAGTTCAGCACTCAGCACCTGACCCAGATATGCCCCTGGGGGATGGGGAAGGTCCCTGTCAGCCCAGCAGCAAGGGGGCTCAGTGGGACTTGCAACGATCCAGGAGAAACTCTGGCACAAGTAGTTCAGGGCTGAGCCCCCGCCGCAAGCCTGGCTTGTCTCAGCATTGGGTACAGCGCCCCTAGTTACCACTGCACAGGTGTATGGCTGCCTGGGGGCGGGAGGGCTTGGGGAGAAGGGCTGCTCTGCTCTAGCTTTTCTCTCTTGGAAAAGGCAAAACTCCAAGTAGGATGGGAGATACCTGGGTAATCTAGACAGAATGGTGTAAGCCCTAACTCCCTTTCTTGATGCTTTAGCGTGGCTTCTGGCCCTGCACAGGGCCCACTCTCTCCAGCTCCAGACCTGGATCTCTCTCCAGGCTGACGACGGTGTAAAGTGAGGTGGCAGTGGAGAGGGGCCTAGAGAATAGCTACAAAGGGGAAGAAGAGATGACAATAAAGGTCGAGGAAGAATGCCCAAAAGCTTGATTCAGGGTTCAAAGATGGTGGCCAGGCTTCCCTCCTCATTGTCCAGCACCTCTGTTTCCAGCATTGGCTTTGTTTTTTTGAAAAGTGAGGGAAGATTCTTAATGTGAACTTCTTTTCGGAACTGCTCGCCCAAGGGTTTCTGTGGAAGACAAACGAGAAAGAACTAATGCTGGGTCTCGAGTCGTGGGTTGTTTTAAAGATCATCTCACCATAATGGTCGTGACTACAGCTGGTTTCTGGTTTGCCTGTACACATGGTCCAAGAAGACTGCAAAGGTGGTTGGGAGCACTAAGGAAAGGGTGTGAAGGGTGTGACCTACCCCAATGCACCCAGCAATGAGGCGTTTGAATTGGTCCTTCCGGCGCTTGTCAGCCACTTTCTGCAGAGAGGGGTTCAAAAGCTTGCAATCAAACTGGTCCAGTGAGTCCTTCTGAATTTCAGGGATCTGCTCCATCACAGCTCTTATCTCCAGGTACCTGGGACGCTGAGAAGTAGGGGTAAACCCACTCAATGGCAGTTTTGGGCCCCGTCACCTTCCCTATCCCCTGCCACACCCACTTCTCAGGGGCAGCACTAGCAACTTGGCAGCTGCCTACGTTTAGGATTAAGGCCCAAGTGACCAGGAGCAGGCAGGCTGTGAGGGATGAAGCCGCAGCCATCCTGCCCCCAGGCTTTCTCCACTCACCAGCGCCTCATATATCTGGAAGGCCAGGTGGACCAGGGAAGCCATGCAGCCATCGTGCTGCCCATGCGTCTGTAAGCCCTTCAGCACACTGGTGAAGAGCCATGTAACAGCATCTGCGAGCAGTGTCCCTGACAGCACCTGGGGAGACAGCTGTGCTCAGGGCCAAAGCGGGACTCTGAAGGCCTCAGCACCCTAGTTCTTCCAACTGATTCAGTCAATCCTCATGACCCAAATGTTTCATGAGGGGAGAGGAGAAAGGGTGAGTAACCATACTTGTTTGAGGAGAGGCCAGCAGAGCTGTGTGGTCGTCCTCTGGCAGGACAGAGTATCCTTCCAGGCCAGGGAATTGAAGGCTGTAATTAACAGGGCTGTACAAACATCCTAACAGAAAAGGATGGAGAATTACAATGGGAAAATAAGTACAATGTTCTCTGAATTCTTATGCATCAGGAGCTAGAGTTTTAATAGGTAAGCAGGAAAATGATAAAAGCAGCTACTGAAGAGATGGGAGTTTATTTCCTCTATGTCTATCAGGCCATCCAAAAAAGAAAAACTAAACAATACAGAAGAGAAAACCTATGTGCAGGAAAGAGAGCTCAGGCCTGGGGGAGGCTGAACACCAGGGACTGGTGGCAATGTGCCTGGGTGTTTTTCTGAGCCTTTGTCCATGCCAGCATGGGAACACAGCGGCCTTGTGCCTTTCCCACTGTTTTCTTTAACTCATATAAAGGCGTATTACCAAAAAACCCTCCTGATGGCATCAGAAAATGAGAAAAGTGGAAGTGGGCTCCCTGGCTGGGCAAGGAAAAAATCTCGCCTGCCCCTCCACCCACCTCATGCTTCATTAGACATTTTCCCAGGTCTGTAAGCTCTGCCATGGCCGAGGGGGTTACCTCTGTGGCCATCATCTCTTCATCTGTAAGTAGAGACCAAAATGTTAAGCTCCATCCTTTCAGAACAGAGACCGTCCTTTCTGACAGAAGCCCACAGAGTAAAGGAGAGGTGAGTACCCTGGGCTGACTGGTGGTTAAAGGTACGAGGACAGCCCCCCAGCCTCATAAGAGGGTGTAGAAGCCTCTGCCCATGGCAGATCTAGAGATGCATCTAGCCATACATTTGCAAAACAAGGAATTTTTCTGGACAGTTACCTAAAAAGCTGCAAATGCTGAGGATCTTTTGTCATTAAACAAATATTTGAGGACCCACTATAGCAGTTACTGGGGATATAAGAGGAATACGACAAAGTCCCTTCCCTGTTAGGAGTTAAATTCTAGTGAGGGAGAGAAGTAATTAATAACACAAATAAAACATGTCAGGTAGTGATCAGTGCTGGAAGACAGAGCAGAGGAAGAATCTAGAGGCCGGCGTTGCTGTTTTTGATAAGCTGGTCATGGAAGACCTCTCAGAAGTGACATCTGAGCAGAGACCTGAATAAAAAGCAAGGGGATGGGCCAGGTATATAGTTGGGAGAACAACCATGCTAGGTAGAGGAGTCACCGAGCACAGAGGCTCTGAGGAGGCTCTGAGGAGGGCCTGTGCTGGGGAGTACAGCAAGGGGGCCAGCATGGACGAAAGCTAGATGTACAAAGTCTCCTGCACACCAGACCACTAGGGACACAGTTTCTATGGGAACTGACCTGGTTACAGAAGTAACAATATTTAGGAGCTTAATGGCTGACCTCCAAGGGCCGCAACAGGCTCACTTACCATCTCCATCTGCAGGGGGAGCAGTACCATGGTCAGCACCTTTCTTTGAAACACAGCACACAGCTAAAGCAAGAAAGCAGGGTTACTAGGCTTATTACCACCAGACAACAGCCGTCTCAGGCCAATGGATCCCAAACTGTCTCTGGGCAGGTGAGGAGTGGGGGAAGGTGGGATACCATCCAGGCACAAAGTCAGCTTCACCAACAGAAATGGAGGCATTTGACCAGACTGTGTTCTGGTCCCTCTTCAAGTTCAGTCAACTGGCGGGAAATTACAGAATTATCTGAGAGTAAATGACCAGGAGAGGATGCCTGATATGTACACTTGGTCTACTCTGGATCTCAAACAAATGAACTGACCAAAGAATAAAAACGAAATATAACCACCTTCATGTCTAAGAATTTAAAAGTTTCCCTATTTTGACAAAGCTAGAAGTTATTCCTACCATTAATCCAACTTCCTCCTATTTTAAACCATTTCCTCATAATCTGCCCTTAGTATGAACAACTACAATGCAGTTCACAATTCATAAAGTGTCCTTAAATTGACTTAAGAATTACATAGTTTCTATTCAGTTAATTATTTCTTATCAATCTGTCAGTGTTGCTGCAAACATGTTAGGTGAGTGACCAGCTTATTTTTCCAGAAAAAGGCTTGTCTTCTACCCCTGGTTCCCACGCCACTTACTGATCAGGTCCATGACTTCTCGGGTTAACATCCTCACCAGTTGTTCCTCCAGCATCTCTTGAGACTCTGGGTTTTCATCTGTTGTCTCATCTTCTCCACTGCAGAAAACCAGGGGCCAAGTTCCATGGGAATGCAAAAGAAGCAGTGACCCTAGCTAGACCTTCTGTGCCCACTTCCTTCTCCTGACTTCCTCTGGTCTACATTCCACTCAAAAGTTACGAATGCGCAGCAGTGATCCACTGAGGGGCATTATTACTTGTGACTATATCCAGTTGGCTTGAGGGGAATGGATCAAAATCCTAAGAATGTCTCAGCATTCACCTAAGGCAGCTGAAGGTACCCCCTATGAAGGCTTGAGCTGAGTCTGCCTAATGGTCACAGAAAAGCGATCTACCATCTAGGCTGAGGATGACTATAACCCACTACTGTTCTAGCCCTGGGATGGCAGAGTCCTTCTTCCTCCATGTCTACCTTCTCCCACCCCAAACCTGGCTGCCAGCTCATCCATCACGGAGAAGAGAAAGTCCCTTACCACAGCAGGCTCCTCTGGTTGATGACTTGCCATTTTTGGGAAAGCCTCTGGAGAAACAAAAAAAGAAATAAGTGCTACACTAGGGAGAAAAGATAATATCTAAGGGCCACTTCATGGTTAGAATTAGCTGAAGATGAGTCCAGGTAACAATGACAGGGCCTTGGGAGACCCCACAAGGTTAAAAAACCAGATACGGTTTCTGTAACCTCTCCCACACCCACGACAAGGGCAGCATATCAAACACTTCTTTGCTTGGAAAGGATCAATGACATTTCAGAACTCCTGAGTCTCTCTGGACACACCTATTCTCTGCCCAGCTGGTCCCCCTGCTTAATTCCAGAGTCAGGGAAACAGACCCAGGAAAAGCACTCCCCTGATCACCTCTCCTCAGTTAACAGAAGGATAGGAGTAGAATCTGAGTCTACAGGTGTTTGCAGGCAATGGAACCAGTTTATTTCTTCAGGGGGGCTGCTCTACCCTGGGCAGCAAGGGTGGAGCGGCTGTGCAGCCATCCTGGCAGGGCTAGGAGACAATGCTTTCAGGAGCTCTTGACTTGTGAGACTCATGAGAGGCCATCCACTCTAAGAGGCCTCTTTGCCACCCTTTCCTGGCCAATCTCTTACCATGTGAAGGTAGGTGAAAAGAGGTCCAAGGATGGGAGACACCAGGGCTTCGTAGTGCTCCGGGGGACAGAAGAGCACCAGAGGCTTCACAAAGACCCATGCCACAGTAGGTTAAGAAGCTTTAGCACACGAGCGCACACCCGTCGTTCTAAGGCACCACTCCCCTGCCAGGCTGGAATTGTAATAAACTCTCCTTACAATGTAACTTTCAGGGAAGAACGATACTCCCCCAAACAAAAACAAAGAGTCTGAATGAGATGCAGTATGAGTGCTTCTTCAAAGAGGAGCACCTGACAAAGTACAGAAAAGCGATAAAAGCTTCATTTTTCATCTTTCCAAGAAATGGGATGGTAAGAATTTCCCCTAAGGAGAAAGAGCTTTCAACACCCCCTGGACTGCTTTCAGGTTTTTCCTTTTATTTACTTCAATCTTCTTGTCCTTCTAATGTGGCTACTATATACTGTCAGAAATGTTTCCATCTATTTCATATAGCTCAGCTCTGCCTCCTCTGGTGCTTCTGAACTGTTCCTGTCTTCAATCTTCTGGCCCTCTGGGTTACCTAGGGAGTTTTTCCTTTTTTTTTTTTTTTTTTTTTTTTTTTTTTTTTTTTTGCGGTACGCGGGCCTCTCACTGTTGTGGCCTCTCCCATTGCGGAGCACAGGCTCCGGACGCGCAGGCTCAGCGGCCATGGCTCACGGGCCCAGCCGCTCTGCGGCATGTGGGATCTTCCCGGACCGGGGCACGAACCCGTGTCCCCTGCATCGGCAGGTGGACTCTCAACCACTGCGCCACCAGGGAAGCCCATCTAGGGAGTTTTGAAAGGATATGAAGCATGGGTCTGAGTCGGTAGTCAGGAATATTGTTCAAGTTGACGAAGGCAGAGCTGAGGAGCTGGGTGGCCAGGTGCTCCACGGTGTAGAAGTCCTGCTGCATGGAAGGGCCCGCCTTCCCTAGGATATGGAAACTGTAAGGGAAAATCATGAACAACATCAAATCCATTATCTGTTATTGCCAGCCCTGACTGCCTTGGGAATTTCTAGTCTACAAGAAGACTTCTCAGCTAGAAAAGCAATTAATTGTATTTTCGTTTTAAGAGAACTTTGGCTTAATCAGTGTACTTCGAAGATGTGGACTTAATCTTCTATCAGAAGGGAAAATAATAGCCACCCCCCCGCCCCAACGTTTAAGGAAACTTCTTGAAACCAGATTCAGCATCTTTTAAAAGATAGATGTCGGTACCCAAGATCAACAGTAGCCTTTCATTACTTCGTAAGTAATATGCATTTATCATGGAGAATCTTTTGTTAGTTGGCTGACTAGAGCACTGTGTTAGCGAGATCAGTGCCCTGGGGAAGCTGGTGTACAGAAGGGCCAGTTACACCCCCGATGCCACAACCAGGACCCCAAGACAAAATATGGCCACAGCTATCTCCCAGTGCCCATGATAGTGGGCTATGCGAATGAGGAGGGGTCTGAGAAAATGCATCCCCATCACTGTGACTTCACTTTGGTCTCATCACTTTATGCACTGGAAACAGACAAGCTGGGCATTAAAATATCAAGTCATGGCTAGGACTTAAAGGCACATGTGACAATTAAAATAAAAATTGCAGGAAACCAGCCTGTTCATTTTGACTTGACACTAGACTCATTAGTTTCCTGTCAAATTCTTTCCTCACATTACCTGTACACTAGAATTCTAGTTCAGATGTCCAACCCAAGGCCATCCTATACAATGCATGTCTAGGAGGAGAATATGAAAAGGCAGCATTGGTTCCTTACCAGTTCTCATAGAGGGTGCAGAAGAAACGCTGCATTCTTTCTAAGACCGTTTTGTAGACAGGAGAGTCATTCAGTTCCAAGAGAGGCTGAGGTAATCCTACAGACAAAGATGGATCAGGAACCTGCTGCTCCTCTGCTGAGGGTCTCAACCTGCCAACACCCTCCCGTAGGCAGAGGTGGTTTGGGGGGCGGCGGGGGGGCGGGCGGGGTGCTAAAAATGCAAAGCAGCTGACCAAGTCTTCTACCAGCTGGAAGTGCTAACAGCTTCCCTAAAGTGACTGCTACACTGTATTTGCAGGGAAAGGCGAAAGCTATTTAAGTGTCCAGGTTTGAGTACTCTAACTTTTGCCTGGGTTTCTCCAGATGGAACTTGTACCAAAACACACAATGATAGCCCAAAATGATCTCTCTGTAAAGTACTGGGAATGTCCCCCGCTTCCTTTTTAAGTCACAGAACCTCTTTTTCAAGCAAAATTTTATGCAAAAGCCCAAGGTGTATAGCAGATAAAAATGAAACCCACTTATCTCAGTATAACAATTGCCTTAAAAGATCTATACTTCTAATCAGAGGCAATTTTGTTTCCAATCTTGCTCCTGGTTGGAAGCTGCCAGAGGGAACTGTTTGTCCATTCTAGTATGTTTTGGTTGGTCATACATTTCTACAGCAGCAGTTCCTGGCTTAATATGAATAACTGAAGGCGGGGGGTGGGGGCAGGAGGGTAACAGGTGGTGAAGCAACACCTAATTTTTATATTAATGACAAGACATTTTTTGGACGTTTCATTTTTACTGGTGCCTCCAAAAGGGAGCTTAAGTGTAGTGGTGCTAAAGGAAATGGCCCAGGACCATTTAGGCCAAGAGAGATAGCCATGGGCCCTGGAAAGACAAGCTAACAGTCTTCTTTTCATTATTAAGTCATAGCTGAGGCATGCTCACTAGATTGCTTAATCATGGCCAGGCCCAGGCAGAGGTGATAGCGGGGGCAAAAACACACTGTTGGGGTTGTGATGGTAAGCCAGCCTGAAGCTCCAGAGATAGGCACAAGGTTTAGACATCTCTGGTGTCTCTAGCTCTAACTTCTTCTTCTTTTTTTAAAATAAATTTATTTACTTATTTATTTTTTATTTTTGGCTGTGCTGGGTCTTCGTCGCTGCACGCGGTCTTTCTCTAGTTGCAGTGAGCGGGTGCTGCTCTTCGTGGTGCGCGGGCTTCTCGTTGCTGTGGCTTCTCTTGTTGTAGAGCACAGGCTCTAGGTGTGCGGGCTTCAGTTGTTGTGGCACACAGCCTCAGTAGTTGTGCTGTGCAGGCTCAGTAGTTGTGGTGCACGGGCTTTGTTGCTCTGCGGCATGTGGGATCTTCCCAGACCAGGGCTTGAACCTGTGTCCCCTGCATTGGCAGGCGGATTCTTAACCGCTGCACCACCAGGGAAGTCCTCTAGCTCTAACTTCTAACCAACTGCCTTGCCCTCTGTGTTCCAGCCACACAAGTCACCTTCCTATCCCCTGGACATATCAAGCTCTTTGCTGTATGCCTCGGGATCTTGCACCTGCCATTCTGTCTGCCTAGAATGCTCAGCATCTCCTTTTGCCTCCAGCCTGGCTGGCCCCTGTTCATCCTTCAAGTCTCCACTGGGAGGCAGTCTTGTGACTCCACTCCAAGACTGGGTCAGGTCTCCCAATAAACGCTCCCAGAGTCACCTGCCTTCACAACACGTATCACAATTATGATCGTGAAGTTATGTGCTAATGGGAGAAATGAGTTAAAGCAACATTCTGATCAAGGTAAAAATTGGGAAACTTGGCTCAGAAACTATTCCTTAAAAAAGTGATAACATACATATTTTACTGATTAAACCTATTTAAGCTTAATTGTTTGAATACTTTCCCCCCCATACACAAAAGGCAGGAAAGTACGCTAATATCCTTCAGGTCAAAAAGCATGGTTTATTTACAATCTAAAGGCTCTAACACATACTACCAGCTGGCAGCTAAAGTGAAGGAGGGGTTAACATGGGGTGTGTGTGCTTCTGAAGACCTTCTCTGCATGATAAGATAATGAAGTAGACACACTTGTTCCTAGAGAGCCTGTATCAACTCCATACATGCATTTCTGAACAAACAGGTGGTCAAGGTAGTGCCAGGTGAGGAGAAGGTGACACAAGGCACACTGAAGCTGCATTAGAGATAAGGTATAGAAATATAAAGGCATATAAAGGTATAGAAAACTTCAAGAAAAAAAAATAGGTTACATTTCTTACCTAAAATAGCAGATTTTTCCACTTCAAGCATATCTAGAACCCTCGTAAAAGGTTCTGCCATTTTGGCTAGCATTTCTGGTGCATATAAAGTATTGTGAGTTCTGAAAAAAATAGGAATGCTATGTGAACTTTTCTTAGTCTGCTGGAGAAGGAAAGAGT